AGAGTGGCTGTGGAGTATTCCTTGGAGCCGAGTGCTGACCTTGTGCATAACGGCTCGGTTGGCCCTGAGGGTTTGAGACAGCTGTCAAAGACCGAATATGCATATGACGCGGATGGCAATGTGGTGGAGGTCATCAACTGGGTGCGCACTCAAGATGATCAAACAGATGAGCTTTCCGCATCAAATGCGGTCCGAACACGCACGAAGAACTGGTATAACGCGCAGAAACGATTGATGGCGACTGCTGCGTTGGGTACTGAGAATCAAGTTGAAGGCTACAAAACTCCTGGGACGATTCCATCGGATTCTTATGATATTCCACCAACTTGGAACTTCACTACAGGTGACTTTGACCGTAATGGCGTGCCTGGCTACGCGTTGATCACCCTCAATGAGTACGATGAAGACGGGAACATGACCCGGACGGTGAATCCGAATGGTGTCGCGACGACTTACGAGTATTCAAATACAAACAGGTTGTTATACAAGACCGAGAACGCTGACGCATTGAACTTTGCTGATCAGCTGATGACGGCTTACCGGTATCAGTACGGCCGGCTTATTTCAATGAGTCAGGTCACGGAAGATCGGCGATTCTTGCCTACCGGGGGGATGGCTCCGCCAGTCTCAGGAAATGTGCCTGAGGTACCAGCTGGGTCATTGAGTGAGCTCGATATGTACGGGGACATTGATCTGCATCACACGACCGGCGTGGAATATGGGGCCGAGATTGTACAACTCAAGAATCAGAACTTGAGTGAGTACAGGGTACCACAATCAGTTAACAACTCACTTGTGGGTGCTTTGTATCTACCAGATCCGGATACCGGTGAGATTTCCACTGAGCCGAGTGTGATGTTGCGGTACACCACAACTGGAATGATTGCAGAGCGATTTGACTCCGCAGGTGGGGCATTCCGATACATGTATGATGAGCTCGATCGACTCATCAGCATTGAGGCTGGCAGCTGGGATCCCTCTCAGCCAAATCCTCCTGTCTTTGATGGTCAAGATGCGGGTGATCCAACATTGCCAGGCTTTGCTGCCAATGGCGTGATCCCGCCAATGGATGAGCCCACGGACAAGATTGGTTATATCCAGTATGTGTACGACGACCGTTCGCAGCTGACTGAAGTCATCGCTTGGACTGAGCGAGATGAGGCTACCCGTAGCCAGATTGCGCGCAGTCTGATGGAGTACGACGATCGTGGGATGATGCTGACCGAGCGCCAGCGGCACGGCGTGGGAGCCGTGGATGATCCGAAGGTGCCTAAGACCAGCTACGAATGGTCATACGAGCCAACAAGCAATAGCTCTGCGGCGCCAGTTGGTCACCATAGACTCAGTGCGATCGAGTATCCGGTACCCCAACCAAGCACCAATGCGCGACGGTTGACATTTGAGTACGGCTCAGCGGGTTCTGTCGATGACCTTCTCTCGAGGATCACTGGTATCAACGGAAACATCGGTACGATTCAAATTGCTGACTTCACTTACATGGGGGATGGGCGACGGACTTCGACTTCGCTTGCTAAGAACAGGATTACAAACGACTACCGTTTGACCGGATCTACTGGAGGACTGGCCGGGCATGATAAGTTCGGACGCATGTCTGAAGAGCATTGGGTCGATAGTTCGACCGGTGCGGGCTCCGGATCCACGCTGTATCAAGGCGAATACGGCTTTGATATGCTGGGTAATCGGATTACAGCACGAATCAAGCAAGTCGATCTGTACGATGTTGGGGCCGGGATTAACCATGTGCGTGACAACACCAGATCCACGCTGAGTGCTTACGACGATCTGAATCGATTGATCAGTGTGCAGATCGGTCAGTTGGATGAAGATCAGGGCGGGAACACTATCTCATCGATGGTCGGTGGATCGATCCAGTTTGAGGATTCATGGAATCTTGATGCGCTCGGGAACTGGGTAGCTGAAATAGATCAGTCCGGTAGCACCATTCTGGCGCACGGCCGGGAGAGCGATGGCTTCCTAGAACACTTCAACTATGCCCCGGGTATCTCAACGCTCGAGCAGACCGATGTCTTGAGGACGATCGATCAGGATGTGACCTGGCGTGACTCGATATCTGTCCTCACTGATACAACGACCATCGACGGTACGAGCACCACGGTCGGAGGTGATCCAAGCGGTGTAGTCCCGATTTACGACGGCGCTGGTCGTCTTCGATTTGATGGTCAGTATTCGTACCAGTACGATACTTGGGGTCGATTGGTACAAGTGAATCTTGCTTCACCAACGACAGTGAATGGTGCGCCATCGTATCTTCACCTAGATCTGGTTAAGCAGTATGTGTACGACGGTGTGGGTCGTTTGATCCGCACCACTTCGCCGCTCGAAGACAATCCGGGCGAGCTCCGTACAGTAGATTTCTACTACGACGGCGTGCGGATTATTCAGGAGATCATCAACGATCCGGTCCAGAGCGCCGCCGCGGCGATGAGTTCAGGAGACTCCGGGCTGCAGAATCTGGCAGAGGAAACGACGCCATCCGGTAAAGATACATCGACGGCAACCATGGGCCTGCAAGGCGGGCAGCTCGATCCCCAGCCGTTGTCTCGCAACATCCACCGCGAGTATGTGTGGGGTCCGGGCGATGGTGGTGTCGATGAGATCCTGCTGCAGACCGACGAGAACGACGACGAGTACTGGTGCATCCAGGACGCGGGCGGGGATCTTGTGGCGCTCGCGGTGCGTGATGGACACGATGTGTCGTTGGTGCGTCAGTGGACCTACTCGCCGTACGGCGAGGTGCTGACGAGCGACCATCTCGGCGCAAGCATCGAGTCGCACATCGGTCATAAGGGTTTGTTCTTGGACCGTCTCGATGCTCCTGTAAATATGAACACGGATGAGAGTCCAAGACTGGTGCCTCAGGCGCACGCGAGTTACCACAACCGGAACCGGACCTACCAGCCCGGGCTGGGAAGATTCTTGCAGATGGATCCGTATCAATCGGGAATGGTGGTGATAGAGAATCTGCCATCTCAAGGGCAGGGCTTGCGTGTGTCGTTGCCACGCATTGATCTTGAGAAAATCTTTGGTGACGGACTCAATCTATATCAATACATAATGTCCAATCCAACTAATGGATCAGATCCATTAGGTACATTTGTCCTACCAGGAGTTTCGGATTTTGCGTATAGCGGTTACGCAAACATGATTCAGCAGTACTCAGATAATCTAGATTGGGACGTGGAATGGGCCTCAAACATGCGGCTGCATCCTGATTACATTAGCAGTCGAAGGAGCAACGACTGGGTCCGGAACTCGATCTTGTTCGGAACTTATGACGCATTTGAGTTCGGCATCGGTGAGTACAACATCAATCCCCTTGATGGTTGGCTTGGCGGACGTGATATTGTACAAGCCGCGCTTGGTCTTGGTGCAGTGGCGTATGTGAAGGGGCCTGGCAGGATCCACAAACATCATGTGATCCCGCGTTTCTTGCTGGGTGTAGACGATACAGCTAAGCGAGTGCTACTTCCCGACAATTTACATCGTGAGTATCACGCGATCGAGCGTAAGCACTTTGAAGCCGCTGGTCTCGAACCGCCAAATAGTCGGGGTGATATGAGATGGAGGAAGCGATTAGAAAGTGGTCTTATCAAACCTAATTCTGGAAAAGTGAACCAAATCCGGCGAGCGCTAATCGCAGCCGCAACCGAGTTTGATCAGAAGTTTCCTGGATATGATCTCAAGGTACGGGTTCGTGTTGGGCTCAATCGTGGTTGGTACCATGGCAGTGCCTTGGATTCAGGCCGGCACTCTCGTCGACGAAGATAAAGGGAAGTGTTCATGGGATTCACAAATAAAGCATATATGTTCTACGTTCATGACTACCCATATGCACTTTCTGATGATTGGCTTCGTAAACTCGATAAAAGAGGTTTGACCCGAAAAAGGAAGCGCCGGTATTGGTGTGGGCGTGGTTGCGCTTCAATTCTGTCTGAGCACTCGCATGAACCTGCTGAGATTGTCTTTGAGAAAGTGCCTGAGACTCCAGTGCACGGAGCTCCGTTAGCTGAAGTACTGGCAGTTGAGTTGTACTCTAAGATCTGCGAATATCTTCCCGAGCATGTGACGGGCAAGTGCTTGCTAGAGGATGGGTCAGAGATTCCAGGGTACATCAATGTGCATACCAGATCAGAACTCTGTGCACAATTTATCAGCACCAATGGAACTGCTGTGTGGAGGTGTAAAGGGTGCGGAGGCCTATTGATTGATTATACGAATAAAGCAAAATACGCGTATCTGATACCTGAGAAACTCAAGGATTACGATTGTCTTCAGGTAGGGCAACACAGTTCTATCATCGTGAGCGAGTATCTAGCAGAAGAAGTTGATTTTTCTCTGGGAGACTTGGAGTTGCATCCAGAGGATGTGGTTTTCGGCGATGCTTCTGAGTACATCAACACTACGAGTGCCGAGCAATCTGTACCTTGGAAGGGATGAGGATGCGTCTGATTTGAAAGGCATACATAAGATATCGAGCGAGTACCCGGTGCCTACCGCTTCTTTGATAATTAGGTTTGGCCATGTGCGCAAGCGAGTTACCACAACCGGAACCGGACTTACCAGCCTGGGCTGGGGCGTTTCTTGCAGATGGATCCCAATGCGAGCGGGATGGCGCTGATGAGCGCCTCGGCAAGTCACGGGAGCGGGATGGCGGCGCTTGGAATCGCGTTTAGTATTCAGGGGATGCTCGGTGACCGTAGTGGGCAGAAACTAATCGGCGAGAATGATGACTGATCGCCGTCGTTTTTTGAAGAGAGTGTGATTTGCCAGGGGTTCAGAAACTCTATCCGGGTTTCAAATGAACCGGAGATGAGCAATGACTTGGAACAATGTGCGGAGCCAGCCGTCAGCCAAATAAAATACTCAGGGCACGGCCCGAGTTTACAATAATCAGCGCATGAAAGTCAATCACGAATATGTGTTTCCTCGTGATTAAGCCTCATTGAAATGTGAATGACTCAGGCCACCCGATGGTAGTGCCGGAGCAGCCCGCCGAGTCGAGTGTCGCATTTGATCTCGCCTGCTGTGGCTGGTGGACTGCTATTCATGATCGGTCGATTCCCAATCCCCTGGTGCGGGCGTTCATGGTGGTAGTGCTCGACATACTCGGAGATCAAGTAGTCAAGATGCATCCCGCCAACTGAGACGAAGTGATCGAGGCACTCAACCTTGAGTGATTTGATCCACCGCTCGATGTGTGCATTCATTAACGGCGATTTGATTGGCAACGGGTATGGTTTCACGCCTTCTCGCTGAAGTGTTTCATTAAACTCTCGGGTGTACAGCACATCGTTATCACGCACAAGAATGGTGGGGGACTGAAGTCCGAGTTCTTTCGCCATCAAGGGGAAGCACTCGGCAACCCGGCACATCCAATTGTTGGTGGGGTGCTGAGTTGCCTTCGTGACCAGCACCTTTCGACTCTCTATATGCATGAATACAAGCGTCGTATATCTCTTGTAGCCTCGGGCTGTGAGCACTTTCTTGGTAAAGAAATCGCAGGACCAGAGTGTTGCCGCATGCCGTTTGAGAAACTTGTCCCACACTGGTTCCGCCCGATCCGGTGCGGGCTCGATGCCATGCTCCTTCAGGATGGAGCGAACGGTTGATCGCGAAACCGACATGATCCCGAGTTTACGGAGTTCACCAAGGATTCGCGTATATCCCCAGCCCGGAGTCCTCGCCATTTGCAGGACCAGCTTCTTCAAATCCCGCCTTGTGGGCGGGCGTCCGGTCTTCGCCTTGAAGCCCCGTTTCTTGTGACCGTTTGGACGAAGCCACTTCTGAAATGTGCTATATTGAACAATCGTGATGATGTTCCGCAATGCGGGACCGACAACCTCGCCGAATCGGATTAGTCTCCGTCGCTCACGCTTTGTCAATGAGATCCTCTTGGGGAGTTTCCCTCGGAGGATCTGATGCTCAACCGTGAGGAACTGTAGTTGGGCGATCAGCTGATCGTGGTCCGATCGGCCGAAGGCCAAGAGTTTCGGTAAATGTGGGGCATTCATGGGCAATCCAGAGCGCGGATAGGGTTTTTGAACCCCTGGAGGGCGGGGATTCTGCTAAAATCGAGGTGATTCTAGAGAGACTGAATGCCATATGTTTGAACACACTCCGCAACCGAACGTGTGCCGGTGTACAATCTGAGCATCCCCGGCACGCCGACCTATTATGTCGGTGAGCATGGGGTTTGGGTGCATAATTGCGACCTGAAGCTTCTTGACTCAGCGTTTGACATGGTGGATTGGAATCATGTCCTTAGGGAATCGCACAAATGGTCTAGAATAGGTGTTTCAAACTCAAGGCAAGCGAAAGCTGTCATTGAAGAGGTTATCTACTTTGGATCCAAAAATCTTGATCATGCCCCTCGTGGAAATGCTGGTGGAGCTATACATCGTTATTCGCATTTGGTGAGAGGTGAATATGTGACAGTGAAAGTTAGATCTGCTGGCGATGAAATTGTTAACATTTCCAATGCTTGGATTGACTAAATTTATGTATACACAAAATGAATACTTGCACAATGCAGAGGCATTAATGGCGGACACATCACCAGATGTTCACAAGATTGTTAGCCTATTGCATAGAGCGATTGAGTGTGGCGAATCCGGAACTAATCAAGGTTCTTCAAGAGCGTATTTCTTGCTTGGTCAGGTAGCAGAAAATATGAATGCAGGGACCGACGGAGGATATAGCGGAAGTGGATTCTATGCATTGGCATTGTTACACAATTCTGACAACAAAGAAGCGAAGGAATCACTGAGGCGAGCATTGCTGGACGATTCTCCGGAGAAATTTGTTGATGATCCATTGTTGCGATCAAAGCTGATTTAATGAATTTGGTTTCGACTTTTGTCTCGTTACATTCTCCGCGAGTATGTGTGGGATCTGGGCGATGGCGGTTTCGATGAGATCCTGCTGCAGACCGACGAGAACGACGACGAGTACTGGTGAATCCAGGACGCGGGCGGCGATCTGGTTGGATCGTCTGATGTAACTGGTGAGTTTGCAATGGCTTGATTCTCGATGGGGTGTGAATCTTGTATTCGAATTTCAGTCAATAATCTTGGGGTAATCAGCCAATTTTGGAGTGTGAGAAAAACTGAGTTGCCTTATACTTGAGCATATGAATCGCTCTGTGTTTTTAGTTCTGATGATAGTGTTTAGCCACTCAGCTGCTGCAATGAATGCTTTAGTTCAAGAACAGCGTAATCCAGCCGCGACAACTCGGATCACATCGTCGATGAAACTCTCTCGTCTTGTTGATCTTACAGCACAGGTCAACGGAGTAGAGATCGAGTACAACGCGGGGTCACTCAACTCGAAGTCGGTCACTCTCCGGCTTGTCCACGACCTCAATCCTGAGGAGCTCTGGGGGTTGTGCCTCTCGGTCTTGCACAGCAACGATCTGACGATCATCCGGCGGGATACGGATCGTGGTCTGTACGCGGTGGTGACATTATCTGAAGCCGCCAAAGAAGTGATGCCCGCAGTTCAACTGGACGAAAGCCCACTCGCTCCGGGGTATCAGTCTGTGCTCCGATCCCTCCATTCAACGGATGCGGACAGTGTGCTTGAAGCGATCAAGCCGTTGATCAGCAATGGGACAAAGCTCATTGTTACGGATGCTGGTTCGCTCTCAGGCGTTGTTGTCTCCGGCGTGCGCGAACGGGTGGAATACGCACTGTCAGTGATTGATGCATTGGACTCCAAGCAGTCGATCCCCGCAATCACGATAATCCCCGTTCAGCATCGCCCGGTGGTTGAAGTGCTCGCAGAGTTGAAGACCATCTCAGCAACACTCGCTTCACAAGGCGGGATTGAGCTGACGAGCGATCTTGCAGCCGATACCAACCGACAAGCAATTCGTGTGATCGGTCCTGAGACGGAGATCGATACGATTCGACAGATGATCGAGCAATCTGATTTGCCTTCCGAGATCCAGTCTCGTTCGTTTGACCCACGTGGGTATCCGCTTGACATAGTTGCGTCATTTGTTGAGACGATGGCACGCGATGAATCCCCGAGGGGATCGGGTGAGCGATGGAAGATCACACAGGATGAGCTCACCAACACGCTGATTGTCTCGGGGACACAGGCGGAACTCGATGCTGCTGAGCAGGCCATCGAGCAACTCGCGTCGATGCCTGCCGACAGCCGTCGTGTGATTCGGATGATCCCGGTGAAAAATCGGGCGGCAACCAAAATCCGTGAGATCGCGGGGCAGTTGCTTGATGCGACATTGCTCAATGATGGGGGATCAGCTGGTAGTTTCGAGGATGAGATAGATAGCAGTCCAGCTTCTGAGACTAGATTGGGAGAACCAAATAGAGCTATTCCAATACCAAAGGGGCAGTTTGAAGATGAGTCACGATCGGATTTGGAACTCGCTGTTGACAGCGAACTCAATACCATCATCGCGACGGGTACACCCAAGCGGATCGAGCAGCTGGAGTTGCTGATCAAGGACCTTGATGTACGCCAGCCGCAGGTCCAGCTTGAAATTGTGATGCTGAGTTTGTCCGAAAGCCAGTCGAAGGACTTTGGCGTTGAACTTGCGGGCAATATCGACACCGGGAAGACACTTATTGGCTTGGGTTCCCTCTTTGGGTTAACCTCAATCTCACCCTCGAGCACATCAGCACAGGCAACGGGCACAGGCGGATCTGCGGTTGTACTCAGTCCGGGCGACTTCAGTGCCGTGCTTCGCGCGATCGAGACAATCAATGATGGTCGATCCGTGAGCATGCCATCGATTGTTGTCAACAACAACGAGACCGCGAACCTCAACTCCACCAGCACCCAGCCCTACACCACAACCACAATCCAGGACAGCAATGTAATTACCGCCCGCGGCGGGTCGGCTTCCGCGGGTACCACAATTACTGTCAGTCCGCAGATCGCTGCGGGGGATGACATTGTGCTGGACTACTCGATGTCGCTCAGTTCCTTTGTGGGAGAGGCCGCGAGTTCCGGTGTCGAGCCACCATCGCAGCAGACCTCGCTCAACAGCGTCGCGACCATCCCCGATGGGTACACGATTGCGCTCGGTGGGATTGAGATCACAAGCGAGGGGGATTCGGATACCAAAACCCCGGTTCTTGCGGATATCCCACTTCTTGGTGGGTTGTTCAAGTCTCAATCCGACTCGACGAGCAGATCGAGGTTCTACATCTTTATCCGTGCGACCGTGATGCGGAGCCCGAGTTTCGAGCACCTTAAGTACATCAGCGAGGACCTCGCGCAGCAGCTGAATGTGGATGACGGCTGGCCGGAGGTTGAGCCACGGATCATGCGATGAGTGTGCTGACAGATAGAGTGATTCAAGCAGACTCAACCTTTCTGAGCAAGATAGGGCATGACTTTGCTCGCGAGCATCTGCTCATTTGGGTTACTGGTGAGTATGGCTTACAGGCGTTGCATGCTCAATCGACTCCACCCGAGGTTCTGCACAATGTTTCGGTCCTCCTCGAACGGTGGCCTGAACAAGTTGAGACCGATACCTCACAGCTTGCGCAGATGATTGACGATGCGTACGCCGATCAGCTCGCACAGAGTGATACGCGCATCGAGTTTGAATCAGATGATCTTGAAAAGGCACACGATGAGATCGAGTCGATTATTCGTTCAAACGATGCAGATTTATTGTCAACCTCAGGAAAGTCACCTGTGGTTCGTCTGATTGATGGCTTGCTCTTTGAGGGCATCCGCCGAGGGGCGAGTGATATCCACATCCAGCCCAATCAGGATGGATTGCTTGTTCGATACCGCATCGACGGCGCGCTCATCGATGCACGCACACTCCCTGAGCGGTTCTCCGCCCCGATCACCAGCCGCATCAAGGTCATGGGAAAGATGGACATTGCCGAGACGCGGGTGCCCCAAGACGGGCGTGCTAGCGTGACCGTCGGGCAATCTACCAATGACGGACAGAGCCACGAGATCGACCTGCGGATCAGCACTCTCCCAACCAGTGGCGGGGAGCGCGTCGTCATCCGATTCCTGGATTCAAATCAGGGGCAGCGGCTATCCACGCTCGAGTCGATCGGTATGCCGAATGAGATATTGGAAAGCTATCGATTGGCATCATCGAGACCAAACGGGATCATCCTCCTCACTGGTCCGACCGGATCGGGCAAGACAACCACCCTCTACGCCACGCTCCGTCATATCGCTTCACACGGTGGTGCAACAGGCGGCGGCGATCTCAACATCATGACCATCGAGGATCCGATCGAGTACAAACTCTCGACTAGCGGCTTCTCGATTTCGCAGAGCCAGGTGAACCGGAAGAAAGGGATGACTTTCGCATCTGGGCTCCGCCATATTCTCAGGCAAGACCCTGATGTGGTGATGGTGGGGGAAATCCGTGACACAGAGACCGCCCAGATCGCGATTCAGTCGAGCCTGACTGGTCACCTTGTGTTCTCGACGCTGCATACCAATGACTCCGTAAGTGCGCCACCGCGACTCATCGATCTGGGGATCGAGCCGTATCTCATCAGCGCTTCGCTTTCAGCGGTGCTCGCACAGCGATTGGTGCGGAAGGTACACCAAGAATGTCAAGGGGAGGGTTGCGAAGCGTGTCTCCATGCAGGATACTCTGGCCGGACCGGGATCTTCGAGTTGCTTCGGATGACCGATCCGATCCGTGATCTGATTACCGGCTCCGCATCTGCGGCGCAGCTTCGGGAAGTGGCACGGACTGAGGGCTGGCGATCACTTCGTGAGGACGGTCAGCGGCTCATCGATTCGGGCGTCACCTCGCAAGCTGAAATCGAGCGCGTCGCGATCGATCTGGCGTCGGAGGGTGAGGGGTGACGTCATGGAGGTACAAAGCACGAGACCCGAACACGCTCGAAGTTGTTTCGAGTGTGATCCAGGCGGATACTGACCTGGCGGCCAGGTCCGCGCTCCGAAAGGCGGGGCTCCGCCCTATCCAGATCAAGCCGGTGAGAGACAGGACAATAGCTCAGCCGAAGATCTCACCACTTATTGAACGTCATCT